AGAAGCCGGCGACGGCGCCGATGCCGTTGATCATGGTGCCGTAGAAGCCGTGGTCGACGGTGTCGAGGCCCAGATTCTGCTTGTACGAAGGCTGCATCTCGGAGCGTCGCAGCGGTTGAACCGTTACGAGGCCGGCGTTCTGATGGGCCATCGGGCGCTTGCCGGCGCTGACGTCCTCTGCATGAGAGCCATTCTGGACGGTACTGTTGCCTAGCTCGGACATCTCGAAAGGGTGAGAGAGAGTTGGAGGGGTGATGAGGTCCAGAGGTCGAGGCCGATGCGCGCCTGTAGGAACGATCGATATGTGTTGGAAAAGGACAAGCGAGAGGCTCAGGTATGTGGGGTAGCCTGGTCGTGTCTGGGTGATGCCGAAAAGCAGCGGAAGAGGCCAAGAGACCTCGGTATATATGCTCGATCGAGGGACGAAAGGCGGAAAGGCTGAGCTAAGTGAGTGCCCCACGCCAAGGCGCTGCGGTGCGCAATTCGGCACGCGCTACTCCGCATTTTTTGGACGCTTTTTAATTTCCGATTTCATCTTATCGCGCACGTCCTCCCAGTGGAGTGGAGGCACGAGCGCACTCATCCGTGCCGGCTTTTCTCTTCTGCATTCTCTTTTTTATTTTTCCAAAAGCAGGCTCGTGACCAGATGGCGTCGACTCGCGCCCTGCCAAGGTTTCGGTCTGCTTTCCTATGCTTTTTCTCTGCGCTCGCTCCGCATCCATCGAGGTAGCCGAGGCGAGCCTGGGACTCTCGGCTTCCACCGCTCTCGGCTGGTCAGGTGGGGAGCTGTACCGTGCCGTGCCGTGCCGTGCCGCATCGTGGCGTGCCTTGTGCCTGTGGCTCTTGGATGGGATTGTCTCGCTTGCTCTTGCCGGCACAGCCCTGACGATGCTACCCGGACCTGGCCGTGCTGTCATTGCTGGTAGTACGGCGGCTGTCTGAGATGATGTAGACAAGCCGGGACGATGCGGTGCCAAGCCGAGTTGCCAAGTTTATGCAGCTGCCGGACGTGCAGCCGCCCTCCTTCCCGCCAGCTGTGATTGGATATGGCGGTTGAATACGCTTGGTCACCATCTCGGGCCACGGGGGGATCTACATTGCGGCGTGCCGGGCGTGCGTGCGCGCTCTACGCGCCACGCTGCAGCTTGGGACGCGATGTACGTCAAGGTACAGCGCATGAACGTGGCTCGGCACTCGGTCGCTATCCACCAATCCGGCCGCCCTTTCAGCGACCCTTTGTCGCCCCATCCTTGCCGTATGCCGAGCTTTGCGGCAACATACGCCTCGTCTTTACCCCACGCCAAACGCTCGCCGAAGAGCGGCGAGCCCGACATTCCCACGCGATGCCGGTTCGAGCGCGCTAGTGCGCAGACCTGGCTTGGCGAGCACTGCCCTGACTCGTAGCGTTCCGCGGAACACTGCCAAAAAAAGCGCCGATCCCACCCGGCGGCATCCGGCTTTCTCTCCACTCTCACCGCCGAGCACCTCTCGCTTCGATTCTCGCAAAGGGTCTCATTCGGGGTCGGATGACCGCCTCCGCATTCGCCCGACACCACACGGTGAGCAAGTCATTTGTTGCCTGGTTCAGACACGTAAAGTGCTCTCCGAATGCCTTGATTTACGCTGCTATGGTGTGCACTGCGGCTCACAACTTCCTCGCTGCCGCTTTGAGCACCGTCGTCACTGCGGGCAACACGATCTTGCGATTGGCACGCGCATTGGCCTGTCTGTACACCTTTGCCCACCGTGGTTGTGCGTGTGCGGCGAGCTCGAGTCTGCGACCGTCGGTGTCGACACCGTGCACCCTCTCCTTTTTGCCGCCTGCGCTCTCGGGCAGACGCTGGCCCTTCCAGGGCTCTTCGAGCATGAGGCGGCGGTCGACCTGGTCAGCAGGCACATGCGCGTCGGTCTCGAGGCCGCGGCGCAGCTCTTGCCAGAGCACCGACGCCTGGCTCTCGCGCAAGCTGCGCGGGGCAAACGCCAGCACGAGTTCACGCTTGTGCTTTCCGGCATCCACCTCGCCCTCGGGCACACGGAACGAGCCGGTCATGACGGCAACGTCGATCTTGCGCTCGTCCATAAAGTCGTCGAGCACCTTCCACCACGCCGCCCAGGCATCGCGCACCTCCTGCTTCGGCTCGGCCGCATCGGCGAGGCGCGGCGTGGGCCGGTCCTTGTGCAGCCACTCGACCATGCTGATGGGTACGGACGCGAAACCGAGCTTGAGCGATAAGGGCGATCCGTCGGCGCCGCTGACAAAGTCGAGCTCCTTGTAGTCTCTGCGCAGCAGATCGCGACCGGCGAGATGGTCGACTGCCTGCTTGGCGCGCGAGAGGATGCTCCAGAAGGGCGCGAGGATGATCTTTGCGCTCTGCGTCGCCGAGTCGGTGTGCTCGGACGGGCTGACGGGCTGGATGGGCTCCACCGACGCGCCGTGCACCTGGTCCTTGAGCGGCGAGAAGGCGAGTGCCGTTTCTCGGATGCGCTGCGACGTTTCGGGATTGCCAAACGACGAGGCAGGGAAGAGCGTCTTGATGGCATCAAAGTCGGTCTGGGTCGCCTTGCCGCGTGGAGCGGCGCGGAGGTTGTCGGTGTCGATGACGATAGCGCTCATGAGCAGATCGGCCACCTGCCGCATCGCTACGTCCGTGCTGTCGGCCTGAACAAAGTTGGCTGCAAACAGGTCGGCGACCATGCTGCTGCAGCTACCGACGGGCTCTTTGGAGGGCGACTTGACGATGCGCAGCGGCGCACCCGCGTGATCGCCTACATCCTCGTGGTGATCCAGCACGATCTCGACGTCTCGATTCGATGCGCCGCTGCCGCCCCATGGCCCCGTGAGCGAGGGATGATCCACGAGGCCGAGCGCGACGTTGGCAGCAGGTGCGAATGCGTCCGAGTCGAGCGCAAGCCCGAGCGTGTGCTGGATGTCGTCGAGGCAGAGGGTGTGCTCTGGATCGATGCCCGCTGCTCGGAATGCGGCGGTATTCTCGGGCCGCAGCACGTCGTCCGAATGCATGCTCTGTATCAAGGGCACGTACGACGACGCGCCGAGCGTGTAGCCTTGCGGGGGCCCGAAGCGGGAGAGCAGGTAGCTGAGCCCGATCGCACATGCTGCCGAGTCGAGATCGCCCGCTTCATTGCCCATGACGAGGGTGAGCTTCTGCGTAGCGGCTGCGCCAGCCTTGAGATGCTCGAATGCATCGCGCTTCGCCTGAACCAGGAAGTCATCCAGCGTGGACCCTGCGACCGATCCCATGGTGCCGCCTTTGCCTTGGCCGGTCAAGGAGCCGTTGCGGATGGGTTGCGGCGCTAGTTGGTTGAGGAAGCTGTTTGGGCGGGTTTGACGCCAATAGACGTAGTCGGTGGCCGAGAGGAAGACGACGGAAGCTATGGCGACGAGGGCGAGCAGGGCGACGAGGCCGATGGTGGCGTTGTGGCGTGCAGCAGCGGCTCGGTTGGTTCGGTACGTGTAGATGCGTTGGTACTGCGCCATGTAGAAGCTGCGATGCGAGCTGCCACCTCAAAGATGATGGGCGTCGCGAATAAACGGGCGCCGAAAACTTCCCGACCGCAGGTTCCGCAGGGCTTCAACGTGCCGCTCCACTTTTGCAACAATCACGCCGATCCGGCACCGACCGCCGATGTACGATCGGGGCATTCATCAGACCGATCCCACCCGCCCTCCGGTGCACCGGTCTAGCAAGCTGGGCCGGTTCGGATCGGATTGCCATGTGATTAGCGGCCATCACCGGCCTGCTCACTGTGGTCGAGCTTTTATGACAGCATGCCAGCAGGGTTTTGCGTGCGACAAGGGCAAATTTCGCCAAGAAGACCCGAATGGACGCGGGCTCAGGAACAGGTAGCAGCTGCACTCGGCGGATAAATTGGGCAGGGGGTCGAGATCCTATTCGTCTGCTCCGGAGATACAGTTCGTCGACATCGCCGGCTCAGGTGCAGTGTGCAGCAGCTCGACGTACCCGCCCAGCGCTGAGTGGATCGGTAGCATCCAAGCTCGCAAGCCAGGGCACGACCGGCAATAAGTGGGTCGCACTGCAGCCGTACCGAGGTGCAGCTGTGCATGCAGCCTCGACGTGGGACTCGACCCAATTGCACGAGCGATCTTTGTTTGTCGCCAACCCTTCATTGGTGTAAGCGGCACACGCTCGCAGTGCAGGGACGAGGCTCGCGTGGAAATATTGGATAGCGAGGTGCGAGCCACCGGGGTCCGGCTATTGGCTATCCGCTCTATTTCCTTGCGCCAATATTCGCGAATCCCTGCAGTGGCAGCACCAGCAGTCTGAGCAGCGTACATCCGATGCACGACGCTACTGGCAGCTACACCGCCGCTTCCGTTGGAGAGCCGGGCGGGGCGGGGCGGTTGTCGCTTGCTTGCTTGAATTGCTTGGCTTGCTTTGAGGCTCCGATGTCGACGTTCATGCTGCTTTTTTTTTTCTGGGCTTTGCCGGTTACTTTCCGTCCACCTCCATCGCCCTTCCTTCCTTCCTTCCTTCCTTGTCACCATTCTCCTGCGACACCATGGCGGCCACATTCATCGAGCTGGTGCGGCTGCGCGCCACGCCGGACCCCAACGTGTACATCTCGTGTTCCTATCCCGAGAAGATGGGCAACACCGCCGCGATTGCGTACGGCGGATGCGTGCAGGCGCTCGTGGTGCAGGCGGCGTTCAAGTCGATCGAATCGCGCAAGGAGCAGCGCAACTTTGAGATCTACTCGTTGCTCGGCAACTTTCTCGGCCCCACGCTGTCGGACCGCAACGTCAAGATCGTCGTGACGCACGTGCGCGACACACGCAGCTTTGCTACGCGCTT